GCCTGGACACGGCTCTCCCGGCTCCCAGTCTGGGCCCCCAGCCCCAGGTGGAGCCGGCAGGTGGGCTGCCCCCAGGGTGCCCTTCCATCCTGGCCTGGGCATGGGGCTGACCTGGGCCAGGGCTCCATTGTGCGGGCTCAGCCTGAAGCTGCTGGCACCCCGTTCTCGCGGTCAGTGGATCCCTCTTCCCGTTTACCAGGTGTCGGCGGGCCGTTTTTATCGGGTGTTGCCGGCCTGCCCAGTGTTTACAGCTGGCCTGCCTCCCCTCCCCGCTAAGGCCGCAGTAAAAGGTCCTGGTCACGCCAGGCTGCACTTCTGACAGCCGCCAGCAGAGGGCACCACCTGCGTGCTGGTCATGGATCCTGAAGCCCCCACCGAGGTCTCCCGTGGGGGCTGGGACGCCTGAGGGCCAGCAGGTGACCTCTCTCAACCCAGGACACCCCGACTAGGGGCCCCTCAGCAGGAACAGATCGGGGGGTGGGGGTGGCTCTGACAGGGGGATGGGGTCTGCCTATACCTGGTTTCAGGGACCCCCGGGATGGATGGAGGTGCCTGGAGTGGGGCTGGAAGGATGGCCTGCTTGCCCCTCCACACAGACTCCGGGCCCTGAATCAACATGGCTTAGCCCGCATCCCTCCTGGCCGAGACCCAGCCCAGGCCACCCACAGAGCAATCTGACCCGGCTCAGGGCCGCAGGGCCCCCAGGCACCCTGGCCAGGGCGAGCTGTGGTCACCAGTGGCTCCGGTGTGGCCCTCACCAGGGGTGGGGGGAGCCTTGGAATCCCAGACGTGCCGTGAGGGGCCTGGTGGGCCGAGCACCCCCGCCAGGTATGCACCCCACCTGCGGCCTCCTTCCCTCCGCAGCTTGGCCCCAGGGCTGGGCTGGGAGACAGCATGTTGCTCAGAAAGAGGAACTCGGGACTCAGAAGGAGGCTGGGACTGGTCCTCCAGGGAGGGGGGCGGGGGAGCAGGTCCGAGGGCGGGACAGTCCGGAGGGCACCCAGGCAGACTTGCAGGGCACCCTTGCCAGCCCCGAGGGTCTGCCCACAGGACTCCCCAAGTCTTCCTCTTCTATGGTTCTTGGATCTGCCCCTCCCTCTCATCCCATGACCAGTCCCCCAACCTAGCCCAGGCCCTGAGCCCACCCTCACTGGGGGTCCTTCTGCTCCCCAAATGCAGCCTGGGACACTTCCAGAACTGGAACCCACAGTCCCCTGCTCCGAATCCTCCCGTGATCCCAGCACTTGCAGACCCAGCCCCAGTGCTGTGCCCTGACCAGGAATTGAACTGGTGACCTCATGCTTCCTGGGTCCGGGCTCGAGTCCCCACCCAACCCTCTGGTTTCGGGCTGTAGCTGTGCAGCCTGCCTCCCCGCTCTGGGCTTTGCACATGCTGTTCCATCTGGAACGTCCCGCCCCGCCTCCCCTGGCTTGCTCCTCCCCAGCCCTCCAGGGTGGGTCAGAACGGCCAGGGATCTGGGGAGACAGGACCTAGGTCTGCCCCGGGGGGGTGTCATCGGGAGACCCCCCCCCACACGTGAAGCTGGCCCTGAGGTAGCAGGGAGAACCTGGCTGCACGAAGGAGAGGGAAGGTGGCCTCCGTGGCCCCGGTGTTCTGTGCAGGTGGCGTCAGTTCCCCGTGTGGCCCTGCGGATGAAGCTGGCCCTGAGGTAGCAGGGAGAACCTGGCTGCGCGAAGGAGAGGGACGGTGGCGTCAGTTCCCCGTGTGGCCCTGCGGCCTCAAGGGCAGGATCTCAGGGGTCCCCGGTTGGCAGGGCCAGGCCACTGGCAGAGGCAAACATCTGGAGAGGTCCCTCAGGCTTGCACGGTGGTGTTCAGGGCGGGGCGGTCCGGGGCCCTGTGCTCTGGGGGTGCTGAGGGGGGCCCTGGCTTCCCCACTAGATGCCAGAAGCAACCAGAATGTGTGACACTTGGGGGGCGGGGGGGGGCCCAAACTGCCCCAATGAGAACCTCTGCCCTCAGAAGTGCAAGTGCCTTCAGGCTAAAGACAAGTTTTCCCAAACAAGGAAAGGCCCCGCTGTGGCAGCCACAGAAACAGCAGACTAGAGCCCCAGGTGTTGGGATTGTCAGGATGTAAAATAACTTATGTGCAAGGAAATAAAAGGCCCTTGTAAATGTGAACAAGGAGTAGTCTTTGGTTTCTGTCTTTAAAATAGGTTTTTATTGATCTTTCAGAGAGGAAGGAAGAGGGAGAAAAACATCGATGAGAGGGATTCATCCATCAGCTGCCTCCTGCAGGCCCCACACTGGGGGTCGAGTCCGCAACCCCAGCGCGTGCCCTGACCAGGAATTGAACCGGTGACCTCTGGCTTCCTGGGTCCGTGCTCAACCGCTGGGCCACGCCGGCCAGGCACTGTGCAAGGTTCTCAGAGGGAAATTCGCAACCTCGAATTCAAACCCCGACTGGGATTTTGCAAGAATGGAAAAATACAGTCTCATTCCGTTCCAGCAACAAAGAGTGAGTCTATCCAACTTCGGTCAGTCCCAAGGCGAGATGAGTTAAATGTTTTAAATGTGTTGTAATTCACAACATGAACAAAGTAAAGGAGAAAATATGCCTGCAAGGAATTCAGAAGAAAACATGCAACTGTACTCAGTTCATGTTCGTAAGAAACTTGGAAACGCATTTACACGAAAGCCCTCAGCGAAACGGGGTCAGTGGTGGAATGTGGAAGGCCTTCTCCCCCGATCAGGAAGACACTAGTGGTGCTGTTATGGGCAATGCTGTCCAGACTTTTACTGAGAAAGTCTTAGAATTATTAAGAGTTTAATAAGATGCTGATTACAAAATGAGTTCAAAAAAGGCCATTTAATTACTATAACCAGCAAAAAAAAAAACAAAACAAACTTAGAAAATGTCATTTAAAACTAAAACTGTATGTTCCAAGTACTAAATCTAAGAAAAAAAATGTGCGAGACCTTTAAGGAGAAAATTACTTAAAACTTTTTTGAGAGACCTACAAGAAAACCTATATCAATAGAAAAATAAACCCTGGTTTTGGACAAAAGACTCCATGTTTAAAAGATGTTCGTTTTCTGCCCTGGCCAGGTGGCTCGGTTGACGCACCATCCCGCACACCAAAAAGGTGTGGGTTCCATTCTCCGTCAGGGCACGTACCTCGGTCGCGAGTTCAATCCCCAGTCGGGGGGCACACGGGAGGCAACCAATCAATGTTTCTTTCACATCGATGTTTCTCTTTCTCAAAATCGATAAAAACATATCCTCAATGAGGATTTTAAAAAATGAATGAATGGCCCCACCCTGTTTGGCTCAGTGAATAGAGCGTCGGCCTGCGGACTGAAGGATCCCGGGTTCGATTCCGGTCAAGGGCACAGGCCCGGGTTGTGGGCTCGGTCCCCAGTGTGGGCCATGCAGGAGGCAGCCGATCCATGATTCTCTCATCACTGATGTTTGTATCTCTCTCTCCCTCTCCCGCTCTGAAATCAATAAGACTTTTTAAATAAATGAATGAATGCATAAATAACGTTCACTTCCCCCAACTGGTGTATAGATTCAATGTCATCACAGTTGAACTCCTAACCGTTTTTCCAGACATTTGGGCCAGTTGTTCCAAATGGTCATGGCAGAGCTGAGGGCGCCAGGAAAGAAGTGAGGAGAAGGGACTATTCCCGGGCGCGTGTCCTGGGTGGTGGAGCTGTGACCTCAGGGCAGACAGGCCATCATGTGACGCCCGGCTCGGGGACAAGGGCTGGGACAACCTGAGGGCGCCAGGAAAGAAGTGAGGAGAAGGGACTATTTCCGGGCGCGTGTCCTGGGTGGTGGAGAGAGACACCAGCTGTGACCTCAGGGCAGACAGGCCGCCACGTGACGCCCGGCACGGGGACAAGGGCTGGGACAACTGGTTCTCTAGACGGAAGAAGGAAACGGGAATGTTTCTACAAAAAGCCCGTCCAGGTGGACCCCAAGGCCCGCGGTCAGCGGTAACCGACCTTCCGAAGTGTCTTCAGACCTCGTGGCCGACCATTCCCAGGAGACCCCGAGGGGCAAGGATGGAGCAGGAAGCAGACACATCTGGACCAACAAGGAGCTGCCACGATTCCCCGACCAGAGGACTCGTGTCCAGGGCACAGGTGACCCTGGAACAGTGTGGGGTGGGGGCGCTGCACCCCCAGAGCAGTGAAAACATCCGTGTGTAACTCTGACTCCACCAACATGTGACCACCGAGAGCCCGCTGCTGACCCGACCCTCCCTGATGACAGTCGATTAGCGTGTATTTTGTACGTCTACTCTATACTGTATTCTTCCAAGAAAGTAATCTAAAGAAGAGACAATGTTATTAAGAAAATCACGAGGTCCCGGCCGGTGTGGCTCAGTAGCTGAGCGTCGACCTGTGAACCAGGAGGTCACGGTTTGATTCCCAGTCAGGGCACGTGCCCGGGTTGCAGGCTCGATCTCCCGTGGGGGGCGAGCAGGAGGCGGCCGATCCATGGTTCTCTCTCATCATTGATGTGTCTGTCTCTCCCTCTCCCTTCCTCTGAAATCAATTCAAAAAACATTTTGTAAGGAAAAAAAATGTCTGCTCCCCCAGGACAGGTGTGGGGGCTCCCCGGTGCCCACAGCACGGGGTCCCCTGTGCCCACTGAGCCTGTGGTGCCCAGGCCGACGGGCCGGCTCAGCAAGCGTCTGTCGAATGAGCACATGAGCCTCCCCTGTGAAGGCGTTTCAGCCACTGGACACTGGTTTCCAACGGGGAGACTGAGGCAGAGGCAGCCTAGACCAGGGAAGGTCCTGCCCTTCGAGGTCTGTTCCTGTGGAGGGGGCTCTGGGACCCCCTCCGAGCCCATTCCTGCCGGGCCGGGGCCAGGGCCCCACATCTGGACCCCACCCACCGAGGTTCCCCACGGCTGCCCCGCCCCGGGGGCTCCAGCCAGCGCTGCCTCCCACGCGAACCCCACTGCCCACCCGCTTCCAGACCCCAGCCCCCGGAGGACGGAGGACTCTCCTCGCCAAGGAGGGACCTTCCCAGCGGCTCCTGGGGGAGGACTGACTCCCCGCCTCCTTCCCAGGCTCCTCTGGGCCCTGGGCCACCAGCTGGGCCCCTCCAGGGCCGGGCCCAGCTCCGTCCTCTCGGGCCTGCTGGGGCTCCACCAAGGACAGCTCGACTCAGGGAGCCCTGCCGGGCCTCGTGGGGCGAGGTGGGGGTTCTGGGGGGCAGCCAAGGGGGGCCAGCCCGCGGCGCCTGCCTTTCATGCCCTTTTATGGGCCGCTGGCTCCTCTGGGCTGCCTTTGTCTCCTCCTTTCAGCCTCTTGTGCAAGCCTCTCCCTCGCTGGGCTTTCTGGGGGAAGAAAAGACGGGGGGGGGGGAACTGGGGGGAGGGGGCTGGCCCCACCCCGGAGGCTCTGCTGGGGCTCAGCCAGGCCCGGTTCCCTCCCTTCCCTCAGGGCCCCAAGTGGGAAGAAAAGCTCCTTTGCTGGGCCCGTGACCCCAGACCTCAGCCGGGGCAGCGATCCCAGCCCAAATGTCCCCGCCTTTCCGACCAACCGACTAGGGGGTTGCCCCCTCCGCCCCCATCAAACGCTGCCCTCTGACCCCGCCCCTGTCTCTGCACTCCCGGTGGGTGGTCTTGCCACAGGGCTTCCTGCAATTCCCAGTCCCCCAAGTGCATGAAGTGGGGTGGCCCCTGGCCAGGGAAAGGCCATGTGGGGGGTCAGAGCACAGAGGCCGGGGGTTCTGGGGGTGGAGAGACCGAGCTGGTTCCGGGGCTGCTCAGCACTGACCACCCCGAGGTTTCTCGGCCTCTGTCCCCCCCTTGGTCCTGGGACCCCTGGGACCCAGGTCAGGCTTCACGCTGCTCAGCTGTGAGCTCCCCGCATCCCGAGGGCAGCCCAGCCGGCCAGGGGCCAGCTCAGCGTCCCTGTCCCGGTGCCTGCGGCCAGGGCTCGGTCAGCTCCGAGGCTGCTGGCCGGTTCTAGCCGGAGGGGCGGGAGGGACCCAGCCCAGCCCAGCCCTATGCAAGGCCTCCTGCCCAAAGCCACACCACGCCCACCCCGAGGGATGGGGGTTCTCTAGGTCCTGCCCCAGGGGAACCCCGGTGTCCACAAGCAGACCGGGCAGGCCAGCCCTTGGGGTCAGCGGGCAGGTCAGCGGGTGGGACCCGGGCCGCCCGGCGGGGATGAGCC